GAAAATGCTCTAAAATTGCTTGTTTTGATGGCTGCACGAGTCTGTGAATACACTAAAGACCATTGAATCATACGCTTTAAATGGATGAATTGTAGGAGAATTATATGTCAATAAAGCTACTATTCCATGGTATTTTACATAAGCTAAGTTTAGATTTGTTTTCATTTTGTCCAAAAGAATATTCCAAGAGAAATGACTAGCAACATTATTCCTTATAGATTATGAAAATGTGTAATTCTCCCCGACTGCTTTTGGATTCCCAGAGCAATTTTTTGAGCCTCCCACCAAGTGAACTTGACCAAGTAGCTGCCGAGTGGAGTTCATTTCTGTCACACGTGCCACGCATTCCCTTGCCTGGCCCTTTGCTGCCCGCGCTGAAATCTGCCTTTCGTGGATTCTCCCCCTTCCCCATAGTGATCGAAACATTTGTTAATACCTCTTGTCACATGAAGATACTCTAAATCATACTTGATAGTGAACTTTCCATAGTTGAGTTTGGTTTCAGAGTTGGGTTCTTTCATGCCTTCTTCACAATTCCACATTCTGTTGCATCACAGTTTCACTCAACTTCAGCTTCATTCGCGTTGCCGCATTTGCCGTCTGCACGGCCATCGTCCTGAGAAACTGTCAAGCATGTAACTTGTTTTCATGTTTATGAAATAATGCTCTACCAATAAATAATGAAGGTAAGAAAATAGACCATTTCATCATTTTCTGGGAAGCCTAGACGTTAGGAGAATAACGAATGAGGTAAATCCCCATAAGAAGAAGTAAAGCCGTGAGCTCTAGATTCTTTTCGTCGGAAAGCGCCTGTGATGTGCAGTTCATCTCTTGCAAATAAAAAGCTGGGGAAAATCAAGCAGTCGTTGCCCATCATGACAAGTTTCCCTTGAAGATTAAAACATCATGGATTTAACAGCATATTTGTTTTTTTTTTTTTTTTTTTTTTTTTTTTTTTTTTTTTTTTTTTTTTTTTTTTTTTTTTTTTTTTTTAATTTTTTTTCAACGTTTTTATTCATTTTTGGGACAGAGAGAGACAGAGCATGAACGGGGGAGGGGCAGAGAGAGAGGGAGACACAGAATCGGAAACAGGCTCCAGGCTCCGAGCCATCAGCCCAGAGCCTGACGCGGGGCTCGAACTCACGGACCGCGAGATCGTGACCTGGCTGAAGTCGGACGCTCAACCGACTGCGCCACCCAGGCGCCCCTTAACAGCATATTTGTATTGCAAGTGATCAGATGCTCAACTCAGAGAGTTTGCGGGATTGCCTTTGGTTTTTATCTTACAAAACTGTGATACATTAGAGAAAGAAAGGGTGCAAGAGGTCCTTGTTGGCACACCTTTCTAAGACTTGTCAGTAAGCTGGCAGTGTCCCTTGGATGAGATGGCAGATGGTCTTTAATCTCAGAGTGGCTTATTTTTCTAGTCAATTTCGAGTCCCCTCAAGAAGAGGCCTGTTGTGCCACGTGGATTTAGCTGTGTGGGGTTTTGTCTACCAGCACCGATGACACTTACCAGGTGAGCGATTCAGGATGATCACAAAGCATTTTGTGAGGGCGCGGGAATGCTTTTGTTGTTGTTTTTACTTCAGTAAATAAATCAACATTTTTGGTGTCTTAAGAATCTGGCAGTGTCTACGGCCATACCACCCTGAACGCGCCCGATCTCGTCTGATCTCGGAAGCTAAGCAGGGCCGGGCCTGGTTAGTACTTGGATGGAAGAATCTGGCAGAATATTTCTTGTTTAGGTTTTAAATTGGTTTTAATACTAATAATATAAAATGTGCCGCGAGTCAGAATTAACCTTCATTGCAGATGCAACTAGTGACAGTAACACTGCAGATCGTTAAGCCGAGAAAAGCGCATCGTATTTTCGCTATAAGGATAATCGGTGGTTTCTGAAGTTTAATACAGTACATCCACTGAAAGGGTGATTGATTTGATTTTCTGGCCTTAATTTAAGGTATGGATAGAATGTGATCCGAAACTCCTAATATTTAAATGTAGCCTCTGAAATTGTTGAACACTGATAACGTGGGTGGAAGTTTGCTGAGGAAAAGAGGAGTGGGGGAGAAAGGGTTCCGTGTGCTGACATCGTTCAAGTTTTTTATTTCTGGATTATTTGAGTTTTTACAAGCGTTACTTTTTTTTTAAGTTTTTGCTTAAATTCGAGTTAACATATACTGTAATAATTAGTTTCAGGAGTAGAATTTAGTGATTCATCAGTTACATATAACACCCAGTACTCGTCACAAGTACCCTCCTTAATGCCCATCCCCCCCACCCACCTTGCCTCCAGCAACCCTCGGTTCTCTATTGTTAAGAGTCTTTTATGGTTTGCCTCCCTCTCTTTTTTTTTTTCCCTTCTCCTGTGTTCATCTGTTTTATTTCTTAAATTCCACACGTGAGTTGAAATCATACGGTATTTGTCTTTCTCTGACTTATTTCACTTAGCATAATACACTTTAGCTCTATCCATGTTGTGGCAAATGGCAAGATGTCATTCTTTTTGATAGCTGAGTAGTATTCTAATATATAGACATATATACACATACACAATTCCTTTATCAGTGGATGGACATTTGGGCTCTTTCCATAATTTGGCTACTGTAGATAATGCTGCTGTTAACATCGGGGTGCATGTACCCCCTTTGAATCTGTATTTTTGTATTCTCTGGGTAAATACCTAGTAGTGCAATTTGCATAACTTTTAAGATTAAAAAAAGATTAATTTAAAAATTAATGTGCTTATTGAATATTTGGTAATTTTGATGACTAATTCCCAGAGAATTCATTGAGTTAGTTCCAGTTACTGAAATATCAGGTTTTTAAAAATTTATAAAAATATCTTTCCCTTTGTTTCTCTTACCGATGCCTTGTGGCTCTGCATTCCATTTACTGAGCCAACGACTCAGCTGGTTGAGTGTCTGACTTCGGCTCAGGTCATGATCTTGTGATACGTGGGTTCAAGCCCCACGTTGGGCTCTGTGCTGACTGCTCAGAGCCTGAAGCCTGCTTCGGATTCTGTATCTCCCTCTCTCTCTATGCCCCTTCCCCACTCACGCTCTGTCTCTCCATCTCTTCAAAAAAATAAACATTAAAAAAAATTTTAATAAAAAAATAAACATTAAAAAATAGTTAATATAAATTCTGCATGGTGGGGATTTTCCTAATTTTCTATTTTTATGTGTCATATTAGCAAAGAATAAAAGAGTGGCATTCGTTCGAGATAAAATAAGATGATGGCACATCAGATTTTACATTTTTATTTGCTAGAATGTTCCATTAGTTTGAATGTTAAAAGTGTGTTTGTCCTAAAATATTTTAGGGTAAATGTTTAAATGGTTACACGTCATTTTATAAATATAGACATTATGTAGGGCCACGAATGAACGGTCAAGAAAGAACTTTTGAGACGTTTTCAGTGCCAAAATGTGCTTTTATTATAGCATAGGGACAGGACCTGTGGGCAAGAGGAGTTGGTGGTTATATGCCTAGTGCTCAAGGGAGAGGGGGATATGCAGGGAGTATTATATCATAAATGTCCTCTTCAACTTTCTACTCGTAAAACCACTTTCACAAGATTTCTCTGGTGCTTTATCATTCAGCCCGATGTTAACTATCGGTGAGATGTACAGGCAATCAGAGACCCAGTATGTACTCAGGATTGAGAACCGCAGCTGGAGGATGGTTTTTGGAAGTGGCCTGGCCAACTCCCTGATAAAAGACATTATACATTGAAGTACATACTGTCGGGGTGGTCCCTCTATCTGCTGGAATTAGGAGCAGCTGCCATTAATTGAGACCTAGAGTAAATTGGCTGAAACAAGGGAGTTTCTTTTTTTCTATGAAATTCTTTACATCGGCAGTCCAGGGCTGCCCTGATAGCTTTAGCCCACGGAGTCCTCTGGTACCGGAGTTCCTTCTTGCGTTAGTTTTTGTTGACCTAAGAGAAATCTCATAGTCTCGGGCTCAGGAGGAGACAGGTGGGCAGCCCTGCCATGACGTTCATGAAGCAGGCAGCACAGTGAAGGAAGGGTTGAAAAATAAAAGGGGGAGAGGGCACAAGACCAGCTGTTCTTTTAAAGGATTCCTAGAAATTGCCACGAGACACTCCTGCTCGTATCCTGTTGGCCAGAGCTTGGTCACGAGGCCACACCCGACAGCAGGAGCAGCTGGGAATCAGGCTTTCCTCCAGGCGACCATTATGTCCTGCAGAAACCAGGGATTTGTTTCTGTGAGAAAAGAGGAGAAGCGAGAGCAGCAGCCACTGGCCATCCCTGCCGCATCCTCCACGAAAGCCGGAAGAATCTGCCCGCTGCCCCCGGACCCTGCCTGCTCAGTGCGCTGACCTGCTCGGCTCTAGTCAGCCAAGCCGCTGGGTTGCAGAAAGCTTTGTTGCAGTGATGAGAACCTCAGCACGTTGGCTTGGGGACAGGCAAGGTCCGTTCAGTTCAGACCCAGGAAAGATGCTAGAGAGTTGTAAACTTTCCCGTTAGGAGAAAGGAATGTGTTCAAGGCCGGTTGTTTAATTGCATGCAGTTCTCTTCCGGATGTTCCAGCTCTCTTAGGGGAGGGAATTTATCACCTTTTGTCAGGGCATTTATTAACATACTCAGGTTCATCTTAATGTTCATGCCGCACGCCCTCGTTTAAACATACACGGCTCGAGGAGAACATCTTAACACATAATTATTACTCAAATTAAACATTTGTTTTTAATATTTTGAGAGACAGAGCGTGAGCAGGGGAGGGGCAGAGAGAGAGAGAGAGAGAGAGAGAGATGCAGAATCCGAAGCAGGCTCCAGGCTCTGAGCTGCCAGCACGGAGCCCGACGCGGGGCTCGAACCCACGAACTGCGAGATCATGACCTGAGCTGAAGTCGGACGCTTAACCGACCGAGCCTCCCAGGCGCCCCAGAAATTAAACATTTTTAAATTCAGAAATGAGAAGTAGGTGGACATGAGACTTTCTAATGAATATTTTCTTTCTTATTGCAGTGGATGAAGGTCGCAGTAAAGACCCTGACCGTTTGCAGGTGTTCCACAAGAAAGCCATAATGCCTTACGGCGTTTACAAGAAACAGCAGAAAGACCCGGGCGAGGAGGCCGCTGTGCTGCAGTACGCGAGGCTGGTGGGGCAGACGTGCTCCGAGCGGATGCTGCTGTTCCGGAACTGAACCCACGCCGCCCCCGCTCCCGCCCGGGCACCCACCCTGTGCCCGTGACGCGCGCCGCACGGTACATGCCCTTCCCTCCGGGGACGTTCCGGACCCGCCCACAGATTAGACTTTTTTATTTTGACTATTATATGGCTTTTCTAAAATATTTTGTGGCAATGTATTTGTGAGAATCTCCTGGTTAATACAAAGATTTTAAAAATACGTCATGACCTAGCCTCATAATTGGGGCTTATCATTTTGGAAGTTTGTTTTATGAGCAAGATACAGTATAAACTTCTCATGTTACTATTTTGGAAAGTAAAATTAGTAAGTGGATCTTAACTAATTTAAATCACTGTTGTGCTTTTTTTTTGTCAAAGAAATTACAACAGACTTCTCAGATCCATTCAACACATTAGTTTACGCTACAAAACCTTACATGTGGGGAGGACAGTGAGGGGGTCTGTCTCACCACTTAGAAAACGTCTTCTCAGGAGAACGAGACTGTGTTGTTATTCGGTGTTCAGTATTAAATTGCTGCTGAATGTTATGTAGTTAATAGAAAACTCAAAAGAATATAAACATTGAAGAAAGGATGTCATGTGAACATCAGATATTCATTTACCCAGGACAGTCCGCATCGTGTCTGTTGTCTTGACGGGATTAGTTTTTCCTAGAACGATTACTACAAGAGTATCCCAGTTTGGACAGCAAAATATATGGTTACCCTAGTTGTGTAGATGATTTGCCGTATTTCTAAAAATCTAAGAAGTGGAGTTTTCTTTGTGTTTGTTTCGGTTTTTTCATTTTGTTTTTGTAAAATATTGGCTCCTGCCTTGGCCTAATAAGACCCACCAGAAGTAAACATACACTAAATTTTTCATTCCTTCGAACTCAGGACACTTGTCTTTGGTTGCTGATTAAAAATTAGTTAATATCGGACTACTAGCTGTACTACAAGTCACACATAACGAAGCACAGGAATCATTCTGACCTCTGTTCCGGGGCAAGAGGTGAACAATCCGTGCCTTGCCCTCTGGTTTGCGAGTCACGGAGCAGGTGCTGCACTCGGGAATTTGAGGCAGAGGCCGGCTTCTTTTTGCCCCTCTCACTCGCTTTTGTTTGGCCCCTCACCCAGTCAGCCAGTGTCCCTCATCCACTACCGTCAAGGTGACAGGCACTGTGCCGGAAAGGAAGAGGAGACTCGCACGTCTCAGTTTGTAGTTAGAACTGAGTTGTGTTGGAGACCATGAGCGACAGAGCAGCTCTGGTTTCTTGTGCTCTGTATCAGCTCCTCCCCGTCTCCTGCAGCCAGCTGCTCGGCCACTAGTTCATTTCATACCCCATTTTGCTTCTTTTCTATTGATCTTTTAAAAAAAAAAAACGCCCGTATTATAAAAGTTAGTACTTGGAAACCCACTACTGATTTTAAACTTTTCTCCTAAATGCACTGATTTTAGATAAAACATTAGGAAATAATTTCAGTTAGCTAAGGGAAAGATCCTAAAACAATGATTTTAAAAATCACATGTCTAGAAATTCAGCATCTAAATAAACCGTGTATTTATTCATTCAGATAGGGTGTGTGTGTGTGTGTGTGTGTGTGTGTGTGTGTGTGTGTGTGTGTCTGTGTTAACACCTGCCATGGGCAGGTACCTGGCTAACTGAAGATAGGGTAGCGAGAAAAGCCATTTTTTCTGATAGCGTGGGTTTAGCATTCTTCTGGAATTTTGTTCCGCAAAATAAGTCTCCCAAGAGTATTTGATAGACTCGTATTTGGAACTGCCTTCAGACTCTATGGAACTTTTTTTTATTTTTCCCTCTAAAATGAAGACAGCTTGGGGCGCCTGGGTGGCTCAGTCGGTTAACCGTCTTGTCTTGACTTCGGTTCAGGTCATGATCTCACGATCCATGAGTTTGAGCCTCACATCAGGCTCTGTGCTGACAGCTCAGACCCTGGAGCCTGCTTGGGATTCTGTGTCTCCCTCTCTCTCTGCTCCTCCCCTGCTCAGGCTCTGTCCCTCTCTCTCTCAAAAAAAAATTAACATTAGAAAATAGTAATAAAATGAAGATAGCTTAGTTGTTTTCTGATGACAAAATGGTACTCACTGTAAGCAATTAAAACATTAATAAAACTATAAATTAGAATGTAAAAATAATCTGAAATTCTACCGTACCAGAGAGAGAATTGTTCTGTATATCCACACGCATGCATGTATAATTTCAACATAAATAGAATTATGCTCCACATGCTGTTTTGTGGACATACCTGAATTTTGAAAGAAGTTTCAGAATAGGATTTCAGAGGTGTTGTGAGTAATCTCAGTACCAGTAAAGCCAGCAGGGTAGGCTTGGTCCATCGTACCCTTGGCCTTGGAATGTCCTCGTCGTTAGGTGCTGCATCACATCTTAGCGATTGGCAGGTGGAAGGGCACTGTTGATGATCACAACTCTTGAGTATCCCATGAAGAGAAAACTGGACTCTTACATCTTGCCACGAGCGTGGTTTCCTCCTGCAGAATTCAGTTAAGGTTCCTTCAGAGGAAAGCGATCAGTCACCCCTGTCGGGGAACTATGGTGCTGCCCCTGAGGGGGACGTTCAAGGTCGGCCGCAGTGAACTGCCAGAGCCGGGCGCAAAGATTCTTCTGCTCACTTGCTGCGTTCATGTGCTGTTCTGGGAACAGATAGTGTATTGATCCTGATGAGTTAATTGTTTGTTCTTTTGAGCCCTAGCTGAGTGAGTATTAAGAGTGCTAGACAAGGACAACAAGGAGAGCGACCCAGCTTTGTCAGTCGACATGTAGTCTAGCTGAGAAATCTGGTTTTATGTTAATGGCTTTCATCCAAAGAAGGACACTCGAGAACCTTTCAAAGACAGTTTCTATCTTTATCTTTTCAAGGCTGGCAGCTGCACGTTTAGTCTCAGAGTTGTCGTCCCTTTCTGGATTCAGGTGAATTCACGTCTGCTGCCTCCTTGTCTTGGGAGCAGAAATGAAATCGAGATGTCCCCATGCTACCATCTTTATTTAAATTCTTTCAGTTCTGTGAGATTTTCGTTATTTTTTTAAGTGTAATCTGAGCACTTTTTTTATATTCTATGAAAGATAGAGGCTATTACCAAATGAATATATTATTCATTTGATTAAAATTATTTAGATAAGGAACTATTACTGTTTATCTTTGCTTTCAGACAACTTATCCTATTTTTTATCCATTTTGCAAAATAGCACTTGTGTGTGGTTTCTTAACACATTGGAATCTATTCTGTAAATGAAGCTTTTCAGATTTCTGAACAGTATATGGTCTGATTTTATAGTCTTTATACTATTTCAGTATGAATAAAAATGAGAAAGAATGTGATGACCAGTTATCTAGAATGTGTTGTTTGTTGCTAACTTTAAAGAAGGAAATGAAATGGAAATATATGGGAAATGTTTGAATTAGAAGTTATTCAAATGTGTATTCTTTTCCAAAAGAAAACCAGTGACTATAAAGCAAAACAAGTTTGATTGCATGCGATACATATTTTTTTTTTGCTCTTGTGTATGGTTTTTGAATAGTCCATTTGATAAAGCTTAAGTGGAAAAAAATAAAGCTGTTTCTATCCGCAGTGGCTCGTGCTGGTCAATACTTAAAAGACCTATGTTTCCATACTCTTAAATTTTTTAATACATTTTACCTGTAGTGAATATTCAGAAAACAGAGGTAAAACACTGGCTGTATGAATCGTAATATCTAATTTACAGTAATTGGAATTCTAGATCATTTGGTTACCTAAATCAAAGCATGATGGATTCCTTTCTTAGGAATAAATAAAAATAAAATAAATCTCACTTTAAGCGAAACATCTGCGTTTCACAAGATAAATTAGGGAATAGACATTCTCTTACCCAAAGGGATTAGAAGTGGGATTTAAGTAGCAAACTCAAATATAATTTGTCTTAAAAAGCTTAGTTTACAGAGAAGTTTTCATTAATATCTCATAAAACAAAGTACGCTTTAATGGTCCATAATAGTACACAGTATATTTATGAAATATGTTTACAAACATTTTGTCTTTTTACAGTAAAGAGGACCCTAGTGGGTGTACGATTTTCCAAGGGATTTAAATATTGGTTAGGATTCCCACTGACATTTTTTTTTTTCCAGAATGGAAATTTGCGTTGTTGTTTTTCTTACCTGAAGTGGACGGTGTTCACCAGGGAGCACTTAGGCCGTGTAGAAAAGTACACAAAACAAGATACAAAATCACTTAGCATCCTATCAGCAAGCACCACCACTACGGTTAACACTTTGATGTGTGTACCCGTTCATAGTTTGTTCGGTCTACGTGTATGTATGTGTTTTTATTTTTAAATAAAAATGGAATCATGTCATATATAGGGTTTTATAATTTTTTCATCTATTTAATATATTTGAACATCTTAATCTGTGAACATGAAACTAAATGAGGAAGAATATAATCATTTTAATGGCTGTTCGATAATATTCTGCCGTGTCTAGTACCTTTTGAGAAAGGAGTCTTAAGACGTCAGCCCCTCCTTATGGGCACTCGGAGTTGTAACTGACCGACATTGATATCTTTCATCAGTTGCTTGTAACATTCGGTCACATGGTTCTTACTCCTCATTTTTCCCAGCCCCTATGCCTTTCCCTGGACAGCAGGGGTTTTCTCTTAACTTGAAGGTTCAGGAAATATGCACCTTTTTTTTTTTTGGAGAGCACACATGAGCAGGGGAGAGGGGCAGAGGGGGAAAGAGAGAATCTTAAGCAGTCTCCACACTCAGCGTGGAACCTGATGTGGGACGTGATTCCACGACCCTGGGATCCCGACCTGAGCCAAAATCAAGAGTCAGACACTCAACCGACTGAGCCACCCAGGTGCCCCAAGAAATGTGTAGCTTTTATAAAACTTAGTGTCCCTTTCTCTCGTTATCTCTCAACTAAATATTTTCTGGGAGATTATACCATTTTTACAGTCTGCACATCTCTAAAATTTCTAGTTAGAAAATGTCTT